ACCTCAAATATTTTGAAATCTTTATATTTGTATATATAACATTCAATAAAAGGCATCTTTATTTATTGATTTTATTCATATGTAATGTAATATTTAATCAATTATTTTAATATGTATTTTTAACAGAAGTAGTACCTGGGCGGAAAAACTTATGATCAATAGCCATTTGTAACAGTTAATTATTTTCTATCTAATTATTTAAATAAATATTATTATTACTTTCTTAATAATATTTTCCTTTGAAAATAACTTAGTTTTATATATTTGTAAGATTTACATTGAAATTTTCATGCCCGGCGCTTCCACCGTATTAGAACCAGTATGGGGCATTAGGAAACAAGCTCTAACCATTTATTATTATAAAAAAATGGTTTAACACAAAACATATTTGAAAAATCTTGAAAATTATTAATATATCTTTACATACGGATCTTGTAGCCTTTTCGGTTAATAAAAATAAAAAAAAATTCAAAATTTACCGATATTTTCTTTTGGTAAAAAAAATAATTAAAAACAGGTTACAAAACTAGAAATTTAAAATATACACTCATATTATTTTTAATGTATTTAATGTCTTGCAGACGAAAATGCTCTTTGCGACTTAACATTTGCGAGGTTTTCCACCATTTAGTACAGCGATTTATATTAAGTTTTCTAAATTAAATTATGTTAAATTAATTTTAAGAAATTACGCTATTTGTTGTGAAAATTTCTGTAAAACCGGTTAATCGCTTACCGGTAATCATATTTTTTATTGGCTTTCAATTATTTATTAATAAATTTGTTCTATTCACTGGAAATTAAATATATTTATAAAATACAAAAAGCCTGAAATTTTACATTTCGTAAATCTATTTTAAATCATGGCATAATAACATTGTATATGAGTGAATATTTTATAAACAAAAACTTTTATATATTCAATTTATAATGCAAATATCGCGATAAAGTTAATATTGTGAATATTGAAATCAATATTTGTAAAGGGTGAAACTATGAAGAGGCCATTAAATATAAAGAGATGTTTAGTTTAAGTGTTTTGGGAGCGGAGGAGTGCTTGTGCTTTCGCTGGTGCTACTGGAGTTATCGATTTGCAATTACCTTGCGAGTAAATGGTCGACTACAGGAATCATAAAAGCCCGATGAGAGAACAAAGGAATCGTTGACTAGTGAAGATCATATAAAATTCTTGATCGGGGACTCTCTTACACTGATCGGGTGAAAGTGCCCATAAATCTATACGGATTTGAGAGAATCCTAAAGAGTCTCCTGTATCTTTTCCAAACGCACAAACCGACAACAATTCAACAAAAAACTACACTCGGTCCTCTTTTTATGCGTACTCTTTTTATGCGGTTTTGAAGTTATGCGGTTTTTATTTCAAGAAGCATTTTTTTAAATAACTATTTTAGGCCATTTTGACACGTTTTGACACAAACTGGCAAGCCATTTCATCGAAAAAGATGATAATTCTGAACGAGCATTCAAGTTTCAACGCCAGCTTCAAAATTGCATTTCTGGATATCAGGAATTGTACAAAAAAATAGCAAAGCCATCGCAAAGTTTAATCACTGATTATATTGTCAAAAGGAAAAAATCAACATGCGAAGTTGAGACTAATTTTACTTATGAAGAATCATTATCTTCAGGACATAGATCTGATATGCTGAGAATCTCTTCTAGTGTTGAAAGTGATTTCAAACCAGTTCGCAAATTATGCCGAACACTCTCATATAGCGACGATATTTTTTCCGTATAAATTTAGAAGGAATATGTTAAGATTATATTTTTCTGAAATTTAATAAACTTGTCTATGATTGTTAACGTTTTTATAAAATTATGAATAAACATTTCAGAAAGAATATAGTAAGACTAATTATTTTTCTGAAATTTAATTTTTTATGCGATTTTCGGTATATTGTAACTCATTGATTTAGTTTTATGCGGTTTTAAAAAAATATGGTACGTATCCTTTATTTTGAGACGTGTGTCTAGTCCTTTTTTGTACGATTTATTTTTATGCGTTTTCCTGTGGAACGTATCTACCGCATAAAAAGAGAACCAAGTGTATATATTTTAATAGTTTCTATTTAAATGTGCAGAATTGTACTTTAAAAATAATAAATATTTCCGTATAAAAATTGCAAATAATTGCTAAATTTTATTATAAAATATAGTAAATATATTAGTCATGAATTTTAGATGTGTTTTGTGGTGAAAATTTTGGAATCAGTTTAATTGAAACTGATTTATTAATATTTACATGTAATTGTGATTGACAATGATAAAAATAAATGTAGTATACCATTCTCTATCCATTTGTATGTGTAAATATGTAATATACAGCTAATAATTCAAACAGTTTAATTGAAATTCATATCACTAGGTTTATTTAACAACGATCTGTAATAATAATTGACAACTAAATACAGTGGAATAAAAAACGTTTCTAAAATCTGTCCGAACACTTATTTCTTCCAAAAATTGTAACTATCATTCTCATAGCTTATTTATGAATAGACAAAAAATAAATTAGATTTTTATTGAATTTGAAAAATTTCATAAATATTGTGAAATTTTAGAAACAATCAATACGGTTTGATTTTTATTTTATGTTCGGCAACCGATTTTTTTTTATAATAGAGGCGTTTAAATACCGAATTCCACTATTAATAAAATTACAATTTATAAAGTAGATTGGTCCATTCGATACAGGTCCTGCATGCTGGCGAAGAAGGGGAGAGGTTTTAGTGCGGTACCAGTACCATGACTCCACCCATGGTCCCTATGTAAGGTTTCCTCTCCTCTACAAAAAAAAAAAAAAAAAAAAGATTGGTCCATTCGGCAATATACCATTAAATATCTGTGGGTTTTCAATTTATAACACAAAACATGTAATTAATTGTTTAATATGATACAAACATTTTTATTGCTTTAATTATATATAATTTTGTTATGTTTTTTGTATATTTAAAACCGTAAAAATATACTTTATTTCCAATATAACAAATACTATACATTTTATTTTTAAGTTGAACATAACAAAAATTGGTAAAAAAATATAATCAATTACAGAATAATATATCAGGATGTATTTTCTAAAATTCTTAAGAATTATATAACAGTACCTCTTGTACTATACGAAATAATATTTGAAACCGGACTAATTGGGGGTTATAAATAATATATTAAAGGTTAAACCGGTCACATATGTACAAAAGCTAAGTCTGTATTGAAAGTTTCAAGCCGGATTATATTAAAGCTGCACTTATGTATATTACAAAGGAGTAAATTAAAATGAAAGTAATTTCGTTCAGCACATGACTATACTCGACACTATGTAAAATTGTATTCGCGTGTTGTTGTATACATATGCTGCAAGCTGAGTACAGTATTCGTACATGTTAGGTAATGTACGTTACACGATGATAAACATTAGACAATAGCTCTCACAGTCAATTTGCATAACTTGTTGTTAGAAACATGGACAGCAGAGGGTCATTGTTCCCGGATCTAAACAACGAAATAAACACAAGTGTAAAGTTTATGTTTCGTAAAATACGTTTTATATGTCTATAACATTATCTAACAACGAATATTAAAGATACTGTAATTAAAATAATACTATTGCAGTGATTTTCAAAGCGGGGTCGCGAAAAATATTTGGGGGGTCGTAGAAAAATTGATGACAGATGACAGGGCTTGCAATTTCTTTTTAAGAAAAGCTGGTCTAAACTCTTAAAAATATTATTAAATGTACTTGAATTAAACGTTAATTATTTTTCAATCTATATATTTTCTTTGTAATTTTAATATAGAAATAAATATATAGTATACTTTCAGTAAAACACGCACTCTGGTAATTTCCCAAGAGTGCCGTTTTGTAATTTGGATCCCAAATGGAATTTTCTGTGGAAACCATTTTTAGCTTTGCAAATAAATAAATTTTATTACCAAAACAAAATTGAAGTCACGAAATTTCAATATTTTCTATATACTTTAAATACTTTTAATTTAATAATGTTTGTCTAAATATTTGCATTTTTTTATTTTCATATACGAGACAGCTTGATTATAATTCGAGAAATACGTATAAGTGTTATATGAAAGACGAAGCCTTGTTTGTAAATATATAACATGGGATCACTGTGAATTGCAAGAGCGAAGATGCAACTAATTAGTACGTCTAGTATCACAATAACAATGTGTGCAGTTGAACGACAAGCTTTGTTTAATCATTATAGTTGGAAATGCGCATTCCGTGTATCTGTTTAATAGATCAAAGGTTCATATTACTGCATCTACATATTGAAAGACTGTTTTTAGATCTAATTATATCATACCAATTTCATCCAAAATATATCGTATTTTTCATTTAATTTCTCAAGTATTATATAACTTACATCGAATCTAATTATAACATTTTAATAAACTTAGATTTTTTCAAATATTTAAAATAAGTTATAAAAATAGAACTTTGTTGGTTGAATTTCTCGATATATTAAAAATTATATTTATTTAAGGGCTCAAAGACATAGGTCAATAGCCCTTTGGTTGAATTTTAACTAATAAATATTATTATTAATTTAAAAAAATGTGTTTTAAATCATTTTGATTTATATGTTTTAATACAAATTATTAGAATTAGTTATTTACACATTTAATACATTATTAATTATTATTCCGTCCTCTTTTTACAATTTATTGTTAACATAAATATATATGTTAAATTTATTTATAATAATTATTTAAAAAGCTGAAATTTCCAAATATAATTGACCTTTTTTAAAATCCACTTTTTGTCGAAAAATGTCAGTTGTATCTGGTTGGGATAATAATTTATTTTATTACATGAAAATTTCTATGTTATATAAATAAATTAACGTAAAATTGTGTACATATGAACATTCAATAACATGTTTTTGATATAAAATATTATATTAAAAAATGCAATTCTAATATGTCTGTATTAATATTTTTTATTTCGTTTTGTGTTACAGTTTGTCATTTACTTCGAAGTGGTGTAGCAGCAATATTCGGACCACAGTCGGCACATACTGCTAGCCATGTTCAGTCCATATGTGACACAATGGAAATTCCACATTTGGAGACCCGTTGGGATTACAGACTCCGCAGGGAGAGCTGTCTGGTGAACCTTTATCCTCACCCCACAACACTCTCAAAGGTAAAGTCACTCATATTATATTGATATGTTGTGCCCTCCATTATTTAATATTAAATCTAGTAAATATATATTACTTTTAACGCAAGTACCAAAGTATCCGATGTATTATATATAAAACATTTTGCTTCCTTTTACAAACATATCTGTATTTGGATTTTTCATAGTATGCTTGTTATATATATTATGACATGCGATATATTAATATTAATAAATGATACTATAAATAACATAATGAAAAGGATATTTGTTTGTGTTGTAAATAGACATTAATGAATTATGTTTTTTTTGTTGTGACATTTGGTATGATTATAATTTATAGTACAACATAGTATGCAATATACTTTCTCTATTTCAAGATTTTCAAACTTTATTTTTATACAGATTTATCAATGTAATAATAATAATGAAACAAAATATTCCTAAAGTATATAATAGTTTATAAATTCATTTATAATTTATAATTTATAGTTTATAATTTCATTTTAAATACAGCAATACCTCATATCTGGTAATCAATTTCGCGTGCTGTTCGAAACCGATATATGGATATTTAGACCTCTAGACATAAACTTAAATTTATAGTTTTTAGTATTTATTTGATATAAATAATTATAAATAATTTACATATGTCTTGCATAACAAGTAATTTACGAATGACAACTGAGTGATTCTCAATTCATTATAAAGACTTATTAGATTTGCTGATTTATTAAAATTTATTTATCAAGCTTTGAATTAATAGTTGAAACTCATTTTTTGCCAGCAAAAATACCTGTTTTTTTCCTATAATTTAAATATTGGGTTGTTACATAAATTCGTTTATTTTTTAAAACTAAAAATTCAAAAAGATAAACATTTTACATATAATTGTATGAATATGTTTCTTTATTTGTGACATGTGACTGTTATAATAAATATTATTATAAAGTAGTCGTCCATTACTTTTTGTTTAAATGTCCTTAGCTTTGAACGGTTATTAACCAATTTTTTGGCAAATAATATTATTTTCTACAATATATATATATTGTAGCAATCAACAGTTGAAAGGTTAATGAAATATTTTCATATAGGTATTATTTACTCAGTCATAGATAAAAACGTTTAAATATAATAGATTCCATCAATATATGTTTAAAATAATGTAAACAACAAATATTTTATTTTAGAAACCTTTGAAATATATTGGCATCGTTGTATTTTTGTTTTGTTAACATTGTAGTATATTTTATTTCCAGATTTTAGTTTTATGCATTTTACTATTGAATGTAATTGAATCCGTGCGATAATTCGTTTCACCGTAAAATTAACACTGGATGCAGTATTTGGATGTGGGCACGTAGCAATATACATGTATTTGCGATGGGCTGGGGTCCAAACTAGGGTTGCTCGAGGTCGACGAATCTGTATCTACCACGGTTTTAGTTCGATTCAATTGGAAACGTTACACGAATTTGATAATTAACATTTAATGGCGGATTTATGATATTTAATGAGTTACGTCATGGCCGGCGGCGGCTTGCTCTCCCATTGCCCAAACTACCGGTAATAATTTGCCAATTTGTTGATCCAAATTGATTAGTTATTCAATCAAACTGCATTTAACAGCGGAATAAATAATGTCACATTAGTATATCCTGAATTAATTTTATCGCTTGTCGTTATTGCGCCAGCTCAACTGTATAAAACAAATACTGCGTTAGTTTATAATTAAAATTGAAAAAGTAAATCAAAGTGTGAACCATTAATAAATAATTATTATATAAGAAATAGTAAACAAAATTTATTATATAACAACATACAAATAAAATATATATTTTATTTAAACACAAATATATTCAGGGTTTGCTTAGCTTAATATAATTTAAATAATAAGTACATGGTTATTTAACGAATGTTCAAATATTTAACGAACGTAAAAGTAAGTTGGACAAAACAGACAGTGACATTAATATTTTATACAATAGTACGTCAGATAATATGAATTCGATCAATCCGGATTTACTATAGTCCTGTTTAAATATGTCAATAGAAACAAAATTATAATTGAGCAAAATAAATTTTAAAAATTAGTACACAACATATTTTTTTATTATATTAATGATATAAAACCGATCCCTTTATACAAACAAGTCTCAAAGGATATTGTAAACCGATTACCCGCGGATTATAACTATATTTGATTTCTGTTGATGTTATATGATTTTCTTGAAAAGCTCATTTGAGGAAAAATATATATAAATAATTTATTAAATATAAATGTGTACTGTGTAGTCCATCCATAAGTCTATTACGTGAATTAATATTATGTCAAATTATACGTTAAAGTGAACATCGAGTATGTTAAAAAGAATCTCTGTAAATGTATACAATTATATGAAAATTCATAATTCGATTAACGTGATCAGTTTAGAAAAATAATATATAAATAAATAACATAATAAATATAAAATTATAATATGTTGTGCGTTTATAAGTTTTGCAACGTGAATTCACAGTAAATAATGTGAGTATTAAATGTCAAATTGCATGATCATCGAGTATTTTCGAGAGAACCACAGTAAATACATACATTTTTTACATGAAAATTCACCTTCAGATTAAAGTGCAATTGTTTACCTATTGCTGTATTTGTATATTAACTGAATTTGAAATGTTATACATATATTGAATTGAAGTAAAATTACCTAATTTTAATATTAAATACATGCGGGATAATTCATGAAATTCAAATTAATTTATTCAAGAAAATATTTAAACTCAATAAATATTTCTAGTCGAAAGCTTGAAAAAAAAGCTAGGATTACAAATATATTTTATGTAATATAATATAATTTACCTTATTTTTAAAAAATGACGATGTAAGAAATATAAATTTGTTGAATGAGTACGGATTTATCAAAAGTAAAGAATAATATCTAAAATATTGTTATTCTTTTGATGTTGTGTTTAAAATATAAACATAACATCAAAAGAATTAATAACAATTAAACTGGAAAATTATAATAGAATTAACGGAAATTAAATTTAGATATCTTATTCTTACATAAAATAATATTTTACTGCAAGAACATTGTCTTGGCATCAAACAAATTAAACTTGTCTTAAATGACATCTAAATTATATTCATTTCTCAGTTAAATTGCTGCTCGAATTCAATAAGTAATTTACTAATAGTTTAAGCATCTACGAAATTTAGTTGTTCCAAGTGCAGCGCTGTCGATACAAAGACTTATAGGTATTAACAGGTTTCAAGTAACACTTGATCGAAGTACTTGCATATTCTAAGAGATATTAGTCTCCGACACAACTTACTCTCCTATAATCCAGTTAAAGTTTACGCACCACCATCGATTAAATCAACATAATGAATAACAACATCACTGCGCAAGCTTTCCCGTTTACATTTGGACGAAGTGGTCTTTGTACTGTAGGGGATGATGAATGTGGATATGCGTGTGTGTGTTTGTGTGGATATGTGTGTGTTTGTTTGTTTAAATTGTAAGGTCGATGGGATTGATGCCGCAGGGATGGTGCTATCAACAATGGTGGGACAATAACCGCTAGCTCTTGTTGGATCTCCCCATTAAATGGTATCAGTACAAAGCGAAGATGCGATTCACTTTATGAGCTACGATGAAACGTATAATATCTTAGAAAGCAGACATCATTGTTATTAACTTCAACCAGAAAAGTAAAGTAACGTTTGCACTCTGAATGAATGAACTCACAGTTCCTCAGGTATTTCTATTAATTTTAGAATTTCCTATTAAAAGTTTATTATATATCAGGAAAATATAAAATATATTTGAATAAAATATGTTGTCTGTTAGATAAAAAATATGTTTCATGTATATTATATTAACTAACGGTGTACGTATCTATAAACGTTTAATGCAAATAGTTGTACGTACGTACCTCTGTACGTCAATTTATTTTGCTCGTTAAGCGAGGTTATTTACTGTATTGCAAAATCGGAAAACATAAATATAATCACCAACTGGCTTAATTTTAGCCAATAACACTGTACGTATATGTGAAGGTCGTGTCGTGTGAACGAATGAACTTAAAAAATATAAATTACTAGGAATAATTCAAATAGCTACATACATATTATTTAAAAATAAAAAGAACATAAAAAAACAATACCTGTATTCTTATAAAAATCCTAAGAAACAAAGCTATCACAAATTGAGGCTGTTAGGAAATATGATTTTTCTGAAGCCACTTACAGAAAGTCAAGAAATTTTCAACTTAACCTAAATATACAACTATTAAATATATTTACTTGATTATGAAAATAAAACCATAAATATCACTTCCTAGATGACATTTTAATGAATAAAGTTCATATTTATATTTTAATCCAGCAGTCCGCTTAAGTAAATATCATTAATTAATATTAATTATGTTTTGCAGGCTTATGTGGATTTAGTAAAGGCTTGGGGATGGAAGTCGTTCACGATTATTTATGAGAACAATGAAGGCTTGGTACGTTTGCAGGAGCTACTCAAGGCCCATGGGCCTTATGAATTTCCCATAACAGTCCGTCAGCTCGGAGAGGGATCGGATTATCGGTGAGTAAATTAAACCCCATTTATTTTAATTAGATTATATACATAATAGCCATTCGAAATATAATATAAAACTATAGTTAAAAAAACTATATTTATTGTTATTTTTAATAATTTTTTGATTTTTTTTATTATTTAGTTTGTTATTTGATTTTTTGTAACATATAATAATTTGATGTATTTGAATGTAATGGCTAATTATCAATAAAATTGATACCGATTAAATAAAAATAATATTAAAATATACCAATAATTGGTACATAGAAACTATCTTCTTTCGATATAAAATAAATTAGGGATTTTTCTATGTTGAGAAATATTATAATTATTATATAGTTCAGAATCTTATTTAAATGTACATGCAAAAAAATAAGTAATAAGTAGCGTATACGTAATATACTTAAATACTTTTGCAAGCCAAGATTTTCTACTATGAATAAAGTAGAAGTATTTAGTTGTAATTTTCATATGTATTACGACAGATTAGTATATCTTCTTTCATTGAAGTTGTAATCTAATTTACTGATATTATTCAATTTGTGAACATTAAAGTGCGATTCTCATATTAAATAAATAATATGTTAAATTAAGTTTCTTTTGTATGTACTGTTTATTGTTGAATAATTAAGTTCGATTAATTATTATTATATTAATATACTAATATTATACTTCTACCTAGAGATTTTAGTAAGGAATTGTTTTTGTAATTGGGATTAAAAAAAAGGTTACATGATTCCTGCGGGCGCAGTTTGCATGGGTCGAAGTGAATTCGGCCGTTAAGGGATAATCCGTCGGTCTTTTCCTAATGACTGATCCTTAATTATTACCCCGTTTAGTTCGTTCTTTTTGTTCCAAGTAAATTTAGTAGGTGATTCTCGCTGATTACAGGTATTTACATCCGGTAGCGTCAGCCGACCCAGCCGTAACTCTTCGTTACCCTAAACCCAATTCCCTTGTTGTCTTGCTCCCCCAACTATTCTGCGGTTCTCCTGGTACAGATATTTAACATTATCTTGATCCCTTTTGGCAAACTATATTGCTTACAAACCATTACATTACTTACTAATATTATTTATTCATGTACAAAAATTAATACAAAAATATGTAGCATTTTATAATTATTGTACATTTTAAATGTTTAAATGTTTGATTGATTTTATTTTAAATTGAATAAACATTTATACATTTACGAATCATTTAAATATATACATTTCTATTAAACATTTTTATGACCAAAGAAAATTAATTAATGCACAATTTTAGTAAAATAATATATTTTACGATAAAAATATAGAAATTTTTTTTGCTTTGAAACATAATTTATTTACACATTTTAAATTTACTTTTTGATGTATTTTACAATTTATTTTAAATTGGAGTAAATATTTGAACGTGTTGGAATGTTAATGATTTAAAATCCCTAAAATATCATCTAACTGATTTATTTTTTGATGGAATATAATTATTTTAAAATGAATTAAATATTTTATCAAACACGTGTTGGAATTTCAAATTATTTATTTTTATGAAAACATTTTCTTTCAATTTTAAATATTATTAAAATATTTATTAATAATTTAAACATAAAGTAATTTACTATGTTGTAATATTTAATATTTTACTTCTGAAATATGAATTTTGTGAGATTCTGTTTTCAAAGAATGTTTCAAACCCGGGAGTCGGGTATTAGTTCTCGGGAAATCCCATAAGTACGCAATCCTCTTATGTTATTCATAACTAAATTTGATATTTTTTACATTTACATGTCACATATGTATTTATATTTGATACCAGTTTTATATACTATAGACAGGTGTATCAATTAAAATGTAATCTATCCAACACAACTTTTTAAAACTGAATCTAAATTGAAATGTACTGAACATTATGTGATTTTTTATTCTCCTTGAATTATTGCAATAGGCCATTTATTGACCATATGCATTTAAGTCCGATTTGTAAATTTATTTTCAAGTTTATTAGCGTAATGGTGCGTACATATCACGCTTGAAAATGCAATTTGCACGCTCATCGCAATATGATGAAACAGCATTACATATCGTGATGTTTCATTTCTATTTCTAAATTGTTACAGGTATTTCCGGTAAATTTACCAACCAAATATAACGTAATCTAGTCAAATTGTATATATAAATATAAAATTGATACACAAGAAAACTGCCATTTTCAATTGTTTGCTTTTAGTTGAAAGATATTTATAAATTTCGTAACGTCTGTGCCTTTGCATTTACTTTTATCTTCTGAACACATTTTGTTTCTCCCGGCTACCAATTCTAACAAATTTACTTGATCTGACTCTCTTTTCATCGGTGATTCTTGAAAATCTTTAGTATTCATATCATCAAAATGGAGGTGTGCTGTGGTGTCGAGGATTTTTACGAATTTTCGAATCGTGTTAGCCCAAAATATCGTGTTATTGAGATGATTCGTATATTTTATTCCTGTACGTGCATATCTTCACTTTTCACGAATATTGTATAGATGCAATCTAATTATGAATTTTATTAAAAATGAATAAAATTAATTATATTTGTATAATTGTTCTGCATATTTTTTAAAACAAAGTATGTGAAAGGATTTTGATTGAAGGTAACATGAAATGTGTAAAAACATACATGAAAATCTGCTTGTATTTCAAAGGTAAATAATACTTTTTATGTATGTTTATTAGACCGAATGCAACGCACAACGTTGAATAGGGAACATGATATGTACTTGACATTTTTTAAATAGACTTGCATAACAGAAATCTCTTGCTGGCCATTCAGGTTTTTCTTTCTTTAGAACTAATTGACATAGATGTGCAGTCCAATTTACTGTTATCTGGTAATGATCACTTCACTTGACAAAAGTTTATATTTTTGTTACAAAAAAATAATATAGATATACAATTGACAAGTTTTACGTATGTATAAGCGTAATTTACAAAGCGTGCACTTAAATCAATATAGCTATATATCAAACGTGCATTTATAATTACCTTGTTTTCTGTGTAACGTTCGGTAAAGTGAGCAATTCATCAATATTTCGGAAACACGTGGCAACGTCGCGTTGACACATTCTGTAAATGCGATTCAGGCGTAAAATCACGTAAAATATTTGGTAAGAATATTGACATTTTATGTACAGTTGTTTTTCGTCTCCATTTGATTTTTTTATGTCTATTGTCGACGCAATTTTTAAAATATACTTATAATTTGATTTTGTTGAAACATTACTAATATAATAAAAAAAAATATTAAAATTTAACTAAACATTAACTTAAATCGAATAATATATGGCCAAAAACTATAAACTATTAAAATAATATGATAAATTAATAGTTTATGATATATCTTATTTCTAAATCTATTTAAAAAGAAGTTGAAAATGCATAAATACATCTATTGCATCAGATATTCAGCATTATAATAAAAAATAAGTATGTATTTGTAGTTAATACAGTAATATTAAAATAAAATAAATAATCAAGAATTTCTTCACGGCATTTCCAATAACAGCTATATATACTTTAATCATTACAATAAAATATGAATAAGTAGTCGGAATGAAATCGAGCTCAATTTCAACCCAGAAACTATATTTTACAGCCAGGAAATATTGACTAAATATATAAATTTATTTGAAATATTATATACGTAAAAAATCCCATTTCAAAGACTTGAATTACTAATTTATAAAGTATTACAATTTATTTGATATATATTTATTCAAGAGCAGTGATATTTGTATCATACAATTTATATAAAAATGTATTTTTTATTAATTATATTATTTTAATTTTAATATATTTATTGGTCATAGAATAAAAGTACTCCCTTGCATACTTCCTTAATAAAAAAATAAACTAACAATTTTAGAGAAATACTGTCATGGGATTCAGAATACAGTTAAGAAAAGTCATAGCTGGGTTTCGATCTGTTCGGATTTGCTATAGTAATAATAGTTTATTATGTTTCGAAATAATAATAACAATCATAGTTTTCAAGTCATTGATATGGTTGTTCATTACCATGTAGTTATCTATATTGTTGATGTTAATTCTTGCTGATTAAATTGTATTGTTTTTCTTCTTGTTTGAATTTTTTTTGAAGATGTTTTTTTTATTTTTGTTTTTCTTCCTTTTATCATTAGAGATTGTAAATTATTATCATCAATGGTTCAATATAATTCTTTCTTAGTACTTTGTACTATGTATATCAATGTGATGTATGTTTACACTTTTTTAATTGGTTATTAACACTGTTATTTGAGCTCACGTAAACATGTACACATCTTATTTGCAACATCCTTATTGGTTAATATTTTGCTCCTAACAATCCCAGGATTTAAATCGTGAATCCGGGTAGTCGATATTATAAGAAAATATATGATTTCCCCAGGTTTAACTCCCGTGATATACTGGGAAGCATCCATTAGTGGCACTAAGCATTTCAAAAACAGATTATTTCGAATGTGACACTGCGAAAACAAGACATCAAGTTCATTGAAATAGATAGCGATCAATTAGTGAATGGTAATGGTTTCGTGGCGCCGGTTCGAATCCTAGTCAAGTCAGGCCCTTTGTGAGCCCTCTCGGTGCTTGCAGCATTAGGGCCATTGTTCATCACAGAAGGACAGTCAAAATAATGTGGTTCAGCATATGGACCTTCAGCCAAGTTGATGGACAATGACCTAAATTGTTTTTATGTTGTTGTGTTTTAACCATCGTTTCAATATGATCAAGTATTTATGCAATGTCGATATCTTTGTTTTTATGTATGATTTGTTATTGAACTAATTCATCTTTGCATTTATATTAGTAATTAATAATGAAATAATTTATGTAATACAAAGGGCTAATATAGTCATTAAATGTAGTTAACAAATTTTTTTAACTAAATTAATAATGCAAAATAGCAAATGAAAACAAAAATATTGTATTATATAAAGCAGATACAAAGAGTCTATAAGTTTAACACTTATAGTAAACTCCACAAAAG